CTTAATATGTTTACGACTGTCAAGGCGCTATATCAATGTCACCTCTTATTATTTATAAAAAAAGATATTTATATAAAACCTTGCTTTTTTTTAAAAAAAGGAGTAAAGAGAGATTGATGCGATAAAACTATCAACGCGTTTCAGACCATCTTGCATTCTGCTTTGTACGTTAATTAGAAAGTTATCTGCCTTTCACCTCAACCATAAGTCGTGAGTTTGTGAAATAAGTGCGAGGCTGCGAGGAATATTATAATGAGTTATGCTAATCAGGTCTAATTTCCATAAGTAAATCGCTTTCTGGGGCGGGGTGGGGGTAATAATCCCCTCAAAAAATATATAATTAAGTCATTCAATCCACGACTGTTTGTGGGGCGCTGCTGTGCGCAATTGACTGCCATGTTTCACCCACAAAATACACAGGCAATTCACTTTACGGTATATTCTGTGAAGCGCTTTGAGATGTCTCAACAACGTGATAAGGCGCTGTATCAAAGGCGAGGATTATTATTGTGTGAATCCAAGTTGTCAGAATTATGTGTCCAAAACCGAGCAATACTCCCAACTTTCAACGTGGAATTGGGTGAAAAAGGTTGAGTTCCATCTACTATAGCAGAGATTGAGGAATCTGTGACTGACTGGATGTCAGCTCGACTCACTCAGAAGCACTCATTACTTGTCGCTCGCAGTCTCGCCTGATATTCCAGCCCAGAAATAGGGAGACTTATTCATTGTTACCGGTTCTTTCATTCAGAGTTTCAGTCCGCCTGTACAGATGGACGTTAAAGAACCCGTTAGGAAAGGGGAGAGAGTTTCTCCTGGTGTCTGGCCAACACTCAAGTATAGAATCATTGAATCTTACAGCACAGAAGGAGGCCATTCGGCCCATCGTGCCTGTGCCAGCTCTTTGGAAGAGCTACCAACTACCCCCACTCCCCCGCTCTTACCCCATAGCCCTGCACATTTTTTCTTTTCAAGTACCCACATTCCCTATGTCTCGCTCCCTTCCCTTGCCTCCTTCAAGGCACATCTCAAGACCTTCCTCTTCAACCAACCGCGCCTTCTGTCACCTTCTACCCCCACCCTCCCTGTCCTCCGCCCTCCCTGATCTCAACCCTCAGCTCGGGTCCAAATCCCTGACCGTCCAGCACCTTGGCATGTCCTCCCGATGTAATTTTGTGCTGTATTGTACCTATCTAATTCCCTTTTCAAAGCTACTATATATTATATAATAATAATGTGGTCACTCAATCCACGACTGTTTGTGGGGACGCCGCCGTGCGCAATGGGCTGCCGCGTTTCGCCCCCGAAACATACAGTCAACTCACTTTATAGTGTATCCTGTGAAGCGCTTTGAGACGCTGCGAAGACATGACAAGGCGCTGTATCAAATGCAAGGATTATTGTTATATATATTTCCCCCAGACAAATCGGTTCGTCAAGGCTGTGCGTGACTTTTGACGTACGCAAACTGCCATTAGCCGCATTTGCATAGAACAGGCAGTCACAATTCTTGACCGCAGTTACCCGGAGGGCGTGGTGAGACGCTGTGACGCGACAATCCAACACCAGGAACATTATTATTATTACTATTAAGAAGCGTCGGCAGTCCCGAGCGGTGCCTCAATGTGTTGGGACACGTCTTCTGCTCCGCTCCCCTGTGAATGTTTTCATTCCATCCAGCTCTGATTTTCACGGAGACCTCAGGCAGGCGCTACGTTGACAGATGTGCTCAGCCCAGCAGCCTGTAACAGCACGTCAGGCTGCGAGTGAGGAACAGTGAACAAGCCCGGTCTGTACGAGGAAGTGGTTGACCTTGGATCTCATTGTAAGTAATAATAATAATCCTTAGTATTTGATGTAGAGCTTTATCACATCATTGATAAGGCCCCCCCCACCAGCTCGGGTCCAAATCCCTGACTGTCCAGGGCCTCAGGACGTCCTCCCGACGTGAAAGCCGCTGTACAAATGTAACTTTGTGCTGTGTTGATTTGGGACGTCGAAAAGACTTCACGGAATATACGGCGAAGTGGAATAAAAACAGAAGTGGCTGAGAACACACAGCAGGTCAGGCAACACCTCTGGAAATGTGTTCGCTTTTCAGGTCGAGGACCTGTTGTCAGAAAGACCTGAAACCTTAACTCGCTGCCTGACCTGCCGCGAGGTTCCAGCCACTTCTGTTTTTGTTTCAGATTTCTGGCTTCTGCGGTGGAGTGACTGTAAAGTGTAGTGACTGCGCATTTCGCGGGTGAAAGGCGGCAGCCAATTGCGCGCAGGGGCGTCCCCACAAACACTCGCGGACTGAGTGACCACGTTCTAAAACCCCCCAAAATGTTTACATCGATACAAAGCGGATCGAGAAACCAGAGCGAAAAGTGTTGATTCTTTCAAAACCAAATTAGATAGATTTAGATTTCTAAGGAAATAAGATCTCGGGATACAGTGTATAGTTGTATTATAATAATACAATATAATAACAAGCCTTACATTTGACACAGAGCCTTGTCACGTCTCCGAGACGACTCAAGCGCATAGACTTTTTGTAAGCGAATGCCATTTGGGCCCAACAAGGTCCCACGTTCAAGGATTGGTTCTCGAGACTTCTACAGATTGGGTGGCGTGGGAGACACAAAAGAATCAGATCTAAGGTGGTGCAATATTATGCTTTATCCCTTCATTTTTATCCTCCAGGAAATACTGTGACTTATCCACCCAAATATGTATTCCCTCTTGTTGGGCTAATTCTTTGAATCGCTTGTAATCCATCCTTAAGACTTTCCCTCTCCGTAAATTCTGTGACTTGCTGCCCTTGTCTCAAGCACCCTTGCCAATATCCCACAGAATAATCTTCTTATGCTTTTCCTCAGCTTAGAACTCATTGAGACTCTCAGTTCAATCCCTCCTGTCTCAGTACGTGTAATAATCGCTTAATTTAATTGTTGCTATCCTTAAATCAGATCACGCCTCAAGAGCTTCCTCTTCGACCGTGCCGACGGTCACCTCTCCCCTCACCTTGGCTCAGCCGGGTGTCTGACACACGCGGAAACCCATCGCCGTTGCTTAAGAGTATCCAAGCCAAGCTGAGAACTCCCTGCATCCCACCTACACACGGAAATCCCAGAGATAGATGGGTTGGAATGGAATACGCTCTCTCTCTCTCTCTCTCTCTCTCTCACTTTCTCTCCCTGGACGGACGCCCCCCATGCTCACCTAATTCCAGAGAGCGTTAGGCGCAGGTTTGCAAGAGCCGAGGCTTGGGGGGGCGGCGGTGGGGGGATCCCAGAGTGTGCGTTGGTGGTAACTGCTGGAATCTAACCAGCTAAAACCACACAGCTTGGCCATTGATAGCGCCGTCCGGCAAGCTTCGCGCTGCTTTCCACCATTAAGTGCTCTGAGATGCTTCCCTGTATGAAGACCTCTATATAAATGCAATCCTCTGTATAAAGTCGTTGTGAAGAGTTATTAAACTGAGCTGTACCTGTCTGTACCTCTTCAGATGGTGTCAAAAGACCCCTCTGCACTAATCCAAAAGAGAAAGCGCTCTTTTTTTCTCCAAACGGTGTGTCTTAGGTGCTTTGAAGTCCACCTGAATAGGCTTTTAAACGTCTCAAATACCAATGCAGCGTTCAGTCCTGTCCTGTCCTGCAGAGCGTGAGATTCGGATTTGGAGTCCCCGTAGCGCAGTGGTTAGAGCGCTCGTCTCGCAAGCGACAGGATCCGGGTCCGGTTTCCGGGCAGGACCAAACCTTGGGCAAGTTCCCTTACCCCACGCACGCGCCTCCGTTTACCGAGCAGTAAGTGGGAACCCGATTGTTGGTCCGTTGCCGGATCGCTTTCCGGGGGTAATAGTAACACTCCCTCTGCTCACGAAACCTCGCCCCACGAAACGCCCGGCGAGTTCACTTCACCGTGTCTCCCGTCAAGCGCTTGGGAGGCGTCCGGAGCACGCGATGAGGCGCTGCGCCGAGTGCGAGGACTCCCTACTGTTATCAACGCGAACCGCCGCAGGCGGGTCGCAGCCGGCGCTCGCTGCAAACCCGCGAGAGGCGGGCGCGGGCGGGCGGGCGGGCGTTTTACAGCCTTGCCCGATTGATCGAGACGGAGGCAGGTAAGGTTGGCAGGTAACAATAATAATAATAATAATAATCCTTGCATTTGATGTATAGGGCCTTATCGGGTCCTCTAAAACGTCTCAAAGAGCGAACACGCCGCGAAGCGAAGTGACTGTGGGCTTTGCGGGCGAAAGGCGGGTGGGCCGGGCAGGGCAGGGCAAGGCAGGGCAAGGCAGGGCAGGGCAAACAGGCTGCTCGCCCTGACCAGGAGACTTGCTGCAGGTTCAAGCACCTGAATGAAGTCCTCGCCTGGCATGACATCATCTCTTTTGGGGAGGGTGGGAGAGTCCCGCCCTCCCGCCCCGCCCTCCCCGCTCGGATTGGCTCCTTCCCGTCCCCCCGCCCCCTGGGCTCCAGCCGATTGGCCGCGGGCCCTGTCCGTCAGGGGCCCGGGCCCCGGGATTGGTCGAGGCGGCTGTCCATCGGCTGACGCGGACAAGCCCTGGGTGGCAATTGATGGGCAATTGGGTTCCAGGTTCTCCTCTGGTTCTGGAGGCAGTCAATGTGGGCGGGAATTGCCAACAGGAACGGATTCTGGGAACCTGGTCTCCCTGTTTCTCTCCCCCCCCCCTCCCAACCCCCCAATCCCCCCCCCAACCCCCCCACCACCCCTCCCCCAATGGGAAGTAGTGGATGAGCAGTGTGAGTGGGGTCTGGGGGGGGAATTTCCATCCTGATTGCCCATTCCCCCCCTCTGTTCCCCCCCCCACCACCCTCCCCCTTTCCTTCCTCCTTCCTTGATTCCTCCCTTCCCTCTCTCACTCCCCCCCCTGTCCCCCCCCCCCCAATCCCCCACTTCCTTACCTTTGAAAGCAGGAGGAGACTTTCCTAGGGATTGGACCATTGGAATAGAGAGAAGAGAGAGAGAAGAAGAAGAAGAAGAGGAGGAGGAGGTGGTGGTGGGGAGAGAGAGTGGGACTTGGGTGGGGGGGCAAAAGACCCCAAGCAACTGGGACCCCCCCACTGACTGTCTGGGAGTCTCTCCAGATGTAAGTAACTGTGCTTTAAACAATAATCTGCTGATGGACCGTATGGCTAAGAGCTTTCACACGAATCAGTGCAAAACCATTTGACTTGAAGCCTTGTGTGTGTGTGTGTGTGTGTGTGTTTGGGTGTGTGTGGGGGGGTTAACCTCCATATGTGGAGGCTGGTGCTTTTTTTTTGGGGGGGGGGGGAAAGGGGGCAATGCAATGCAATGAGGGGGGTAGTGGTTTGGTGTCTCAGAGATGCTTCAGAGCTCTGCATTCTGCAGACTGGTCGATTCTGCGAATTAGATCGTTCCGCGATTGCATTTTGCGCCCTGGGCAGAGCTGCTGAACAAATACAGCATTCAGGTGAGATGGAATGGTGATTTCTTTTCAAAAAAGGGGGAGGAGAAGAGTACCAGAGCTTCCCCACACCCTCCCTCCCTCCCTTTCTGTCTCTCCATCACCCCCTTTTTTTTCCTCTCTCTCTCTCTCTCTCTCTCTCTCACACACTCTCTTTCTCTATCCCTCTCTTTGCATTTTGTTCAGAGAGAGATTGAGAGAGAGAGAGAGAGAGAGAGAGAGGAAGACATACAGTGATTTATTTGTGGGGTAGGGAAGGGAAAAGAGGGGTAAGGGGGAAGAGAGCAGCCAACGTTTAAGAGGCATCCCCTTTTTTTCCCCCATATGATTCTAAAGCACGTTTGTGTCTGTCTGTGGCAAATTGGGATGAGATGCAATCTCTCTCTCTCTCTCTCTCTCTCTCTCTGTCTCTGTATATATATATATATATATATATTTTCCCCCTATTTAAAAGACTTCAATGGCAAATGCTCAATCATTTTGCCAGGCCCCAGGCAGGCAGGGAGGCAGGGAGGGAGGGGAGGGAGGGAGGGAGGGAGGGGAGGCAAGGAAAGGCAAGGAGGCAGGGAGGGGAGGGAGGGAGGGAGGGAGGGAGGGAGGGAGGGAAGGCAGGGAGGGAGGGAGGGAAGGCAAGGAAAGCAGGGATCTAAGCCATCAGTGATGCATTGAATAAGAAGTGCCCCACACTCTTTCCTCCCTCCCTCCCTCCCTCCTGCATTTGCAAGGAGTGATGGTGCTAAAGAATTGGCTGTGTGTGTCTGTGTGTGTGTGTGTGTGGATCTGTGTGTGTGTGTATGTGGTTTTTTTATATATATATATATAGATATATATTCCCGTGCAGAAATATGTCGCTCCCAAAATACACAGTGTACTCTGCGAGGATGTCTCGAGACGTCTCGACGACGTGATAAGGCAATGAAGGCGCTACATCGGAAGCAAGGATCGTTATGTTGTCGGGAACGCAGGCGGTTTGCTCAGCCGCTGACTGTCATGTCATTCGGTTGGGAAATGACTGGGATGGATGTGTGTGTGTGTGTGTGTAAGGGAGGAGACTACATCACTAGCCATTTCCATGAGTACCCTTTATATAAAACCGTACAAATCTGCAGCTTGTGTCTGTGCAGCAAAGATCTGCTCCACCCCCACCCCCCTCTCCAAAAGTACACAGTCACCACACTTTACAGCGTATCCCGTGAAGCGCTTCGAGACGTCTGGAAGACATGATAAGGCGCCGGGTCAAATGCAAGGATTGTTATTATCCTCTTGATGTGCGAGCCCACAGTTTATACACGGTGTTACAGCTAACACTGATATGGGGCTCTCTCTCTCCCTCTTTCTCTCCCTCTCTCGCTCGCTCGCTCGCTCTACCTGACCGTTTTATTGGAACATTTTTTTGATAAAGGGTGGGGGGGGGGTTGGCGGTGGGGCGGGCGGGGAATTTGTTTGATGTTTACTTCTATCGGCGCCTGCTTTTGTTTTGCTTGGCCGCGTCTTGCCAGAAAGAGGTGCGTTGGAGATAATTATCTTTCGTCTATTATGAGGTCTCGCTGGAGGAAACCGATCAGCACATTTGAGGGGAGAGATAACAAGAGCTGTTTGACAGTACGATCCGGGTGGCAATGTGTAGATGGATGTGTGCGTGCGCGCGTGCGCGTATTGTGTATGATGTGTGCGTGTGATGTGTGTGTATATTGTGTATGATGTGTGTGTGTGTGATGGATGAGAGGGTGTAATAATAATAATCTTTGCATTGGATATAGCGCTTTTCACGTCTTCTCGACGTCTCAAAGCGCTTCACAGAATATGCTGCAAAGTGAATTGACCGTGTAATTGTGGGCAAAACGCAGCAGCCAATTGTGTAGTGTGTGTGTGTATTGTAAGTGATGTACGTGAGTGTGTGTGTTGGGTGTGTGTTGGGTGCGCGCGCGTGTGTTGGGTGTGCGCGCGCGTGTGTTGGGTGTGCGCGCGCGTGTGTGTTGGGTGTGTGCGCGTGTGTGTGCGTGTGTGTGTTAGGTGTGTGTTGGGTGGGTATGAGGGCGTTGGGTGTGTGTGTAGTGTGCGTGCCTATTGTGTGCGCGTGCCTATTGCATGCGTGTGCGTATTGTGTATGATGTATGTGAGTGAGTGAGTGTGCATTGTGTGGGTGCGTGTGTATTGTGTATGATGTATGTGAGTGTATGTGTATTGTCTGTGTGTGAGTGTATTGTATATGATGTATGTGAGTGAGTGTGTGTGTATTGTGTGTATGTGGTACTTCATAGTGTCTGCAGTGCCATATTCAGCACATAACTGCTGCAGTAAATGCATGTGATGTATGATGTCCACACACGTGTATATTTCAGCCCATTGGAGGAGGTGAATGGTCAAAAGCCTTGAACACGCTGCCTGTATGTGCAGCCAGGCGGACACATACAAACACGGTGTACCTGTCTCGCTACTGAATACACCAGCGCTGGATATTTGAACAACGTATATGTTCGGAATACGTGAATACCGCTGCGTTAACCGCGTTTCGCCCACAAAACACACGGCCGCTCCACTTTACGGTGTACAGCCGTGAAGCGCTTTGAGACGTCTCGAAGACGCGATGGGGCGCCGGGTCAAATGCGAGGATTATTATTCATACATATACATCATCAGGAAACTGAGCATCGATTGCTATGTAGTGTCGGATTTTTGTAATGAGTTTGATTTGGGTGGAAGGACTTTGGGTCAATGTGTGTTGGTAACTCTTGTTATAGCAACAACCCAACGTGTAGGACTCTTTCTGGGCCCAATTTTATATATATATATATATATATATAAAATATATATACAGATCAGCCATGATCTAATAGAATGGCAGAACAGGCTTGAGGGGCTGAATGGCCTCCTCCTCCTGTGTTCCTTATAATAATCTTCGCATCACATCACAGCGCCTCATCACATCGTCGAGACGCCTCAAAGCACGTCACGGATTATACTACAAAGTGCAGTGACTGTGTATTTTGTGGGCAAAAGGCGGCAGCCGATTGCGCACAGCAGCAAAGGATTATTATTGAAGGGATTATTACCCCCAGAAAAGCCATCCGCCAGTCGACTAACAACCAGGTTCGTACTTACTGCTGATAAACAGGGGCGCGCGTGTGTGTGTGTGGGGTGGGGGGGGGGTAAGGAAACTTGCCTAAGGTTGTGCCCCGCCCGGGAAGTGAACCCGGGTCCATTCACTTGTGAGGCGAGGGGTCTAACCACTACCCTGGAGGACTCCACGTTTGACCAAATTTAGTCTTTCACTCCATTGCGGTTTGTGGGACGCTGCTTTGCGCAAACTGGGTGCCGAGTTTCGCCCACAAAATCCACAGTCACTGCACTTTACAGTATGCCATGTGAAGCACTTTGGGACATCCTCTTGAGGTCGAAGCACTATAACCAATTCAAGTATTATTATTATTAATATTTAATTCATTTTAAAAAGCATATGCACCACTCACTGTCTGTAGGATTTGGGATGAGATATTAAACCGAAGTACCGTCAATCCTCTATTGAAAAAGAGAGGGGCATTTCTCTCTCTCTCTCTCCCCCCCACTCCCCCCCGGAGTCCTGTCCAACAGTCCCCCAGATAAAATTGGTCAAATTACAGGGCTGTTACTGTGCACTGTAGCTGCCATGTTTCGTTACAACTACACAGTTACTACACTGCAATGCAATGCAGTATATGCTTTGATATAGATCAACATTGTCGGTGCTACACAGACGAGGAGTACCGTACGGTCGGTACCTTCCTTGTGTTTACCATACTATGGAGTCCTGTAGCTCAGTGGTTAGAGCGCTCGCCTCGCAAGCGAGAGACCTGGGTTCGATTCCTGGCGGAGAAGGCAAAACCTGAGGCAAGTTTCCTTACTCCACACACCCCTCTGGTTACCTGGAGGTCAATAGGATCCCGGTGGTTAGTCGATGGGTGGATCGCTTTTCCTTCAAAAATTATTATTTTTTTTAAAATAATAATTTGGTCACTCAATCCACGACTGTTTGTGGGACGCTGCTGCGCACAATTGGCCGCCGCGTTTCACCTACAAACTACGCCGTCACTGCACTTTACGGATACATCCTGCGAAGCGCTTTGAGATGTCTCAACGATGGGATAAGGCGCTGTATCAAATGCAAGAATTATTATTTTATTATTATTGGAAATCTCTGGGAGGTCTGAGAAGATATGGATTGTGAGGGCTTAGTTAGAGAACAGTACACAGTGGTTTGACAGATGTTGATGAGTTGTTGCAGCCTGGTGATGGCTTGCATCTGTAAATTGGACAATGTTGAATACGAGTAAAGCTCTCCCTCTACACTGTGCGTCCGTCCACACTCTCAGGTCAGGGTTAGAGACACAGTAAAACTCCCTCTAACACTGTGTGTCCGTCCACACTCCCAGATCAGGGTTAGAGACACAGTAAAACTCCCTCTGCAGTTTTCCATCCAGTGTCGTGGTGGTGATGGGGGGGTGGGGGTGGTGGGGGGTGTGAATGCTTGGATTTCCTGCACGAGGCATCCAGTAACTAATGAGTTAAGGAAACACGAAACAGAGAGAGATGGTGTGTCATGCATTGATCTATCTGCTGAAATCTACACAGCCGCTGATAATATCAGTGCCTTCCTTTATCTTATCCGTCTCGCTTGCCATCCGTGTCAGTGCCTGGCTCAGTAGGTAGGGCTCTCCCTCTTGGCTGTTTCTGTTCGAAGCTGCCATGACACTCTCGGAGAAGAGAAGGCAGTTTTTCCTGGCGTTCCGGTCAACAATCTCGGCCGACCCCTGAGCGACAGGACGAGGACTCCGCCAAACACACAGTCAGTTCGCTTGAGACGTCTCGGAAGACCTGATGAGGCGCTATACCAAGCGCAAGGATTATTATTGTTGTTTTCGTTCTTTTCAGCGCTAACCTTCCGGCGATCGGAGTGGCCGAGGAGGGAATCCCGCCCTAGACCCCTTGCGTGGGCCACCCTCCCGTTCCCCCAGCGTTTCGATGGTCTGACCCGGGCAAGATGATGTGCGAGGTGATGCCGACCATCAACGAGGACAACCGCCGGGGCTCTCAGTACGGCTCGGACGACGCCAACTTCGAGCAGCTGATGGTGAACATGCTGAACGAGCGCGAGAGGCTGCTGGAGAGCCTGAGGGAGACCCAGGACAGTCTGGCCGGCGCTCAGCTCCGTCTCCGCGAGCTGGGCCATGAGAAGGATTCTCTGCAGAGACAGCTGAGTATCGCTCTACCACAGGTACCCGCCTCACAGTCCAGCCAACGCCTCCTGCCTCCCTCCCTCACCCGTCCCCTCCCTCACCCGTCCCCTCCCTCACCCGTCCCCTCCTTCCCTCCCTCTTCCCTTCCCTCGCCTCCTTCAAGGCCTGTCTCAAGACCCTCCTCTATCGACTGCGCCATCGGCCATTTCAGCCCCGAAACACTGTCACTCTCTCTCTATCCCTCCCTCCACCTCTCCCCCTTCTTCAGGTTGTGCCTGAAGACCTTCCTCTTCGATCGTGCTCACGGTCATCCCCCCCAGTCCCCCCCAGCTTGTCGTCCCGCAATTGGCTGCCGCGTTTCGCCCACAAAATACACAGTCACTGCACTTGACAGTGCATCTTTCGAGACGTCGCAACGACGAAAGCCAGGATTATTATTATTAGTAGTAGTAGAACCATCACTGTGGAACAAATGTCGCGTTGAATCCTCGGTGTGAATGAGCGAGACCTTGATGAGGCTCCTGGAAGTCGGGGAGCTCCGTGAGGCGTGAAGGGTAATCGCGGGATTAGGGTCCTGTTGTGACCACTTGATTAAATGTCTCCGCACCCAGAGGCGAGGGACAGTCAACATTCCCCGATTGAGGGACAGTTAACGTCACCCGCTACCCAGCCCAAAGAGTCTGTCGTCCTCTTCACTGGTTGGGTGTGAGCGTGAGCGACGCAGTTGCCTGCTGGCGTGTGGCACGAGCTGTGTGAGTGGCGTGAGTGAGGCGTGAGCTTCGTGCGCGTGTGACGTGAGTGTGCGTGTCGCTTCGTTGAGGCATCTCAAAGCGCTTCACAGGATATACCGGTAAAGTGCAGTGGCTGTGTAGTTTGCGAGTGAGACATTAGTTGCGCGTGTTTGCGTGATGTTCGCTCTGTGTTGCATGTGGGTGGTGTGCGCGCGTGGTGTGTGCGCGTGCGATGTGTGTCCGTGTGGTACGTGCGTGTCTGCGTGTGACACGATCTGTATTTATGCGTTTGTGAAGTGTGTGTGTGTATATATGTGGTGTGTGTCGGTGTTTGTGTATCTGGTATGTGTGTTGTGTGCGTGTGAGAGTCCGTGTGAGTGACTCTCAAATGCCCGTCAGTGTTGGCCAAACGATAGCCAACAACCCCCCCGTAGCAGAGAGAGAGGGATAGAGAGCGGACACTGAATCGCGTGTCACAGGAGCCATGTCATGGCGTGTGGGTGCCTGAGCTGCACCCTGGTGATGGGCTCGGGTGCACCCGTGTGCGCGCGCGTCAGCGAGCTCACGCGGGTGTCCCTCTCTCTCCTCACGTTGAATTGTGCGGAGCTTTGGGATGCTTCCAAGGCCGTCACTTGGAACGGTGACGCAGCTAACAGATTGGGTCGGCGTTTCGAGGCTGATTGGATCTGCCGCTCGCTCAACTAGCGCTGGAACAGATGTCACCTGCAGCTCACGCAGCTGCTGTAGACTGTCAGCGTCGAGACCTGCCAACATCCGTGTGACGTAGCCCACCACAAGGTGACCCCCCCCCCCCCCGCACCACCCCTTAACCCCATTCCCCACCCCCCGCAACCCCTCGCACCCCTCTAGTCAAACCACCTCCCGAGCAACGCAATGTAATGCAACTCAGAAGGTCAAACGTCAGGGCCTTCAATGAGCCAGAACAGGTTAAACACAGGCGAGGAGTAGTAGTAGTAGTAGTAATAATAGTAATAATAATCCATGACTGTCTGTGGGACATGGATGCCGGGTTTCGCCCGCAAAACGCACGACCGGTTCACTTTCCGGCATAGCCCGGGAAGCGCTTTGAGACGTCTCGATGACCTGTATCAAACGCAACGCCTTATTGTTATGTTGTGTTAATAATAATACTACTAATAATAGTAATTCTGGCATTTGATACAGCGTCGCTGGGCTGGGGCTCGCTCCCCTCCCCCTAACCCCTCCCCACCCCGCCCGGCCCCCCAATTCCCCTGCTCTCTCTCCCCATCGTGTCTGCGCTGGCATTAAAGTAAAGGCTCTTCTCCCTGCGCAGGAGTTTGCCGTCCTGACGAAGGAGCTGAACTTGTGCCGGGAGCAGCTGCTGGAGAGAGAGGAGGAGATTGCGGAGCTGAAAGCTGAACGCAACAACACCCGGGTCAGTGCAGCAGCAACAACGGCGTGCGGGGGGGCAACGGTGGGGGGTGGGTAGCGGGAGGTGGGGGCGCGGTGGATGGGGGGGGAAACAGGGGTACATGTGTGGCTGCTCCGTCTGGGAGGGATGGGACCTCGACGCCCGAAGGTGAAGGGCTCCAATACGTGGGGGGGAAGCGATTGGAAGTAAGGAGATGTGACCCTCGCGGGTCCAGGGTCAGAAATTGTGTCTGCGTGTCCATAGGGTGTGTGTGTGTGTGTGTGTGTATGCGCGCGCGTGTGTAGCTTGTGTGTAACGTGTACGTGATGCATGTGTAGTGTGTGTAGAGTGTACGTTTAGTGTGTGGAACGTGTGCGTAAGCGTGTGTGTGTGCTGGCTGACCTGACTGTGTTGTGTGCGTGCGTGCGTGCGTGTGTGTCGGCTGACCTGACTGTGTGTGTGTGTGCGTGTGTGCCGGCTGACCTGACTGTGTGTGTGTGCGTGTGTGTGTGTGCGTGTGTGCCGGCTGACCTGACTGTGTGTGTGTGTGTGTGTGTGTGTGTGTGTGCGTGTATGTGTGCCGGCTGACCTGACTGTGTGTGTGTGTGTGCGTATGTGTGTGCGTGCGTGTGTGTGTGTGCGTGTGTGCGTGTGCACCGGCTGACCTGACTGTGTTGTGCGGTTCCAGTTGCTGTTGGAGCACTTGGAGTGCTTGGTTTCCCGACACGAGCGTTCGCTCAGGATGACGGTGGTGAAGAGACAGTCCCAGTCTCCGGCCGGTGTGTCCAGTGAGGTCGAGGTGCTCAAGGCCCTCAAGTCACTGTTCGAGCATCACAAGGCACTGGATGAGAAGGTAAAGGGTGGCCGGGGGGGTGGGGTGGGGGGGGGGTACGGGGTGACGGGGGGCATCGCTCTGTGTGCAAATTGGCTGCCACGTTCGGCTACAAAACACAGTCACTACACTTCGGTATATCCCGCGTGTGTGGAAACCGCTGTCAGTGTGGGCACCTGGTTCAGCACGTGTGTCAGCGCGTGTGTGTGTCAGTGTGTGTGTGTGTGTGTGTCAGCGCGCGTGTGTGTGTCAGTGTGTGTGTGTCAGCGCGCATGTGTGTGTCAGTGTGTGTGTGTGTGTCAGCGCGCGTGTGTGTGTCAGTGTGTTGTGTGTGTCAGCGTGCGTGTGTGTGTCAGTGTGTGTGTGTGTCAGCGTGCGTGTGTGTGTCAGTGTGTGTGTGTGTCAGCGTGCGTGTGTGTGTCAGTGTGTGTGTTTGTGTCAGCGCGCGTGTGTGTGTCAGTGTGTGTGTGTGTCAGCGTGCGTGTGTGTGTCAGCGCGCGTGTGTGTCAGTGTGTGTGTGTGTCAGCGCGCGTGTGTGTGTCAGTGTGTGTGTGTGTCAGCGCGCGTGTGTGTGTGTCAGTGTGTGTGTGTGTCTGTGTGTGTGTGTCAGTGTGTGTGTGTGTCAGCGCGCGTGTGTGTGTCAGTGTGTGTGTGTGTAATTGGGGGTTACCCGCTGCCGAGGTCTGGGTTAATCTCCGCTCCCCGACAGGTACGAGAGCGTCTGCGTGTGGCTTTGGAGCGGGTCTCGATGCTGGAGGAGGAACTGGAATCCACATCGCAAGAGGTGAGCGTCCGTGTGGCAGCTCCACAGGTCCTCTCTCAGGTCCACTCGATCCCTGGTCGGGAGGACCCAGGTTCGATTCCCGCGAAACATTGGGCGAGTTTCCTTACCCCACACACACACCTCTGTTTACCAGCGGTTAGTAGGAACCCATTTGTTAGTCGATTGGCGGTAATAATCCCCTTTTTTAAAAAAAAAAGTAAATGTATTAATAATAATAATTCGGTCACTTCAATCCACTGCTGTTTGCGGGGACACTGCTGTGCGCAATCGGCTGCCGCGTTTCGCCCACAAAATACACAGTCACTCCACTTGACAGCGTATCCTGTGAAGCGCTTTGAGACGTCTGGAAGGCGTGATGAGGCGCTGTATCAAATGCCGGGGATGATGATTACTGTTGTTGTTGTAGATTGTGGTGGCGCAGCGACTGACGAACGGGTTGCTATTGCCGGGGGAGAGGTCGGGTGACCCTGATTGCCAGGAGCTGGTGCAGTTGAAGGAACGTCTTGCCTCGCTGTGCCGGAAGGTGGCCGAGTTCGAGGAGGAGCTGAGCACCACCAGGAAGGACCTCATGAGATCGGAGGAGTCCAATTCCAAGCTGCAGCGGGACCTGAAGGAGGTGAGGAGAGCGCACGCGCGCGAGAGGGAGAGAGGGGGTGGAATCCCTGTAGCTCGGTGGTTAGAGCCCGTTCCTCGCAAGCGACAGGACCCGGGTTCGATACCCGGGCAGGACAAAACATTGGGCAAGTTTCCTTGCTCCACACACACGCACATGCACACACACACACACACATACACACGCCTCAGTTCCAGGCGTAATAATCCCTTCAAAAGTAATAACTCGATCGCTTCAATCCACGGCTGTTTGTGGGGACGCTACTGTGTGCAATCGGCTGCCGCGTTTCCCCCACAAAATACAGTCACTACACTTTACAGTGTATCCTGTGAAGCGCTTTGAGACGTCTCGAAGACGCGATAATAATAATAGTAATAATTGCGTGTGATATCATGCCTTTGCCCACCTTATCACGGATAACATAACGGAAAAAGTGCTGCATCAAATGCAAGGATTATTATTCTTATTAATAATTATTACTGTTAATAATAACGACTCCGCTGGCCCTATCTCCAGGCCCTGGCACAACGAGAGGACATGGAGGAGAGAATCACAACCCTGGAGAAGAGATACTTGAGTGCCCAACGAGAAGCCACATCTCTACACGATGCCAACGACAAATTGGAGAACGAGCTGGCCAGCAAGGAGTCTCTCCTCAAACAGGTGACCCCACAAACCCTTCCGTCCGTTCCCCAATCTCTTGCCCGGTTCTCGTATCTATTCTCTGACCTGTCCCTCCCACCCCCACTCATTCACCCCCTTCCCTCTTTCCCACACACTCCCCCCCCCCCCCCACTGTCCCCACACCCTCCCAATCGGGAGGATGTCACGCTCGCTCACTCGCTCTTCACGTTCCTCTCTCTCTCTCTCTCCACTTCCCGTTCTTCCTAACTTCCGAAAATCCTTAGTGATTTGGACTCTCTCTCTCTCTCTCTCTCTCTCTTGTGGAGGAACTTGCAATAAGCTCTTGTTAACCCTCAACGGTCTCTGCCGTGTTCTGTTTCTCCCGCTCGCCAGCTCTATCTTAAAAACTATTCCACTGGAAAGGAGCGAGGAGGAGGCGCAAGGCAATATTCACACACTTGAGATATCCCGGTAACTCCTCAACTCTTCCCTTAACTCCTTAGCTCTTCATGTGGTGAAGCCGCCCCTCCTCTCCCCTCTCCCCCTCCTCTCGCCTCCCCCCTGCCCTCCCTCCTCGCTTGTCTAATACTGACCTAGCGATCTTTGTATTTACGTGTGAATTTTAACAGCAAGGAACTCTTTATTCACCACGCACACCACTACCACTGGCTCCCCCCAGCCTTGGCTGTGTGTGTGTGTGTGTGTGTGTGTGAGAGAGGTCCTTTCTGGTGTCTTGTCTCTCGATTCGGAGATGCTCCCTTGCAGTTATCTCCTTGAAGTATTGGCAGGTTGGCGAGAGCCAAGGCTTGGTGGGGGCGGGGGGAGCCCAGAGTTTGGGTTGGGGGGTAACTGTTGGAGTCTAACCAGCTAAACCCACATTATCTCGGCCATTGAGAGAGAGAGAGAGCACTGTCTGGCCAAGCTTTCCCGCTGCTTGTCCAGCGAGGACCACCCTCCCCGTTAGTTAGGGCTATGGCTGCGGGGTTAACAGGAGCTGAGGGGGAGGATTCCCTGCCCCCAGTGACCGGTCGGTCCTTCCAGGTCCTGCCGATGGGCCGGGTTGCCCTGGGACACTGCGGTCTGGCCTGGGCTCAGCAACAGGACTACTGAGATCTCTATGGGCATAGAGGAGTGCAGTATGAGGGGATGGGGGGAAGAATTTAATTCATTCATCCATTCATCCCCACATCAGTGATATTTGTACGTCGACACTTAATACCCCCCCACCCCCCCATCTCCCACTCCCTCACCCCCCCACCCCCCCACCCCCACCCAACCCCACTTTAAATGTATTTTTCTTCCTTGCTATTGTGTCGGAGCAGGTATGGAGAGATCAGGCAGGTGATCCTGATCCAAACAGCTGCCCTGACGCAGTGCTTTGTACATAGTGCTTATAGTACCAGTGATTCAAAAGGGATTGGAGGCAGAATTATTTTCTTCAATTTGCAAATATTTGGGAAAAGCACTTTAGAATCATTTAATAAAACAATTGTGTGTTTAATAAAAAAAAATTGTGCTTCAATGTATTTTTCTGTCTGCAAGTCTCTGACATGTTTTTTTTTTCCCCAGCCAGGCGGGTGTCTGACATGCACCGAAACCCGTCACCGTGACCGGCCGCGTGTCTGACACACACGGAAACCCGTCACCGTGACCAGCCGCGTGTCTGACACACACGGAAACCCGTCACCGTGACCGGCCGCGAGTCTGGCACACACGGAAACCCGTCACCGTGACCGGCCGCGAGTCTGGCACTCATGGAAACCCGTCACCGTGACCGGCCGCGTGTCTGACACTCACGGAAACCCGTCACCGTGACCGGCCGCGTGTCTGACACACAGGGAAACCCGTCACCGTGACCGGCCGCGTGTCTGACACACAGGGAAACCCGTCACCGTGACCGGCCGCGTGTCTGACACGCACGGAAACCCGTCACCGTGACCAGCCGCGTGTCTGACACACACGGGTGTCTGACACGCACGGAAACCCGTCACCGTTGCTAAAGAGACTCCAAACACAACTGAGAATTCCCCACATCCCCCCCACACCCGGAAACCCCGGAGATAGACCGTTGGAATGGGATGAGCTCGCTCTCTCTCTCTCTCTCTCTCTCCCCCTGGAGGGACGCCCCCCTGCTCACTTAATTCCGGAAAGTATTAGGCGCGGGTTGGCGAGAGCCAAGGCTTGGTGGGGGGTGGGAGCCCAGAGCGCGCGTTGGGGGCCAACTGCTGGAGTGTAACCAGCTCGAACCACATTAGCTTGGCCATAGAGCGAGAGAGAGAGAGAGAGCGCTGTCTGGCAAGCTTTCCCGCTGCTTGTCCTGCTAGGACCACCCTCTCCGTTAGTTAAGGCCTTGGCTGCGGGGTTAACAGGAGCTGAGGGGGAGGATTCCCCGCCCCCGGTTTCATCCCCGAGCTATTACCAATTGCGGTGCTGTGTTACTGGAAGGAAACGTGGAAATTCCCTGTGGGAAAGGGGCCAGGATTCGGCCAAGCGTAAATTGTTGGAAAGTATGTTACACTTCAGGGGGCGGTGTGGCCTCAGGAATAATCCTAATAATCTTTGCTTTTGGTGTAGTATGTGTTGAGATGTCTCAAAGCTTCACAGGATATACCGTAAAGTGGTATCGACTGTGCATTTCGTGGGAGAAACACAGAGCGGTGTCCCACGCACAGTTGTGGATTAAGTGAGCGCGTGTTTTTTTTTTTTGAAGGGATTATTATTATTATTCCCCGGAAAGCGATCCGCCAATCGACTCACGGTGCTGCTGGATAAACCGAGCCGTGCGTTGTAAGGAAACTTCACTGTGTCTCTAACCCTGACCCGGGAGTGCGGACGGACGCACAGTGTCGAGGGAGAGCTTCACTGTGTGTGTCTAACCCTGACCCGGGAGTGCGGACGGACGCACAGTGTCGAGGGAGAGCTTCACTGTGTCTCTAACCCTGACCCGGGAGTGCGGACGGACGCACAGTGTCGAGGGAGAGCTTCACTGTGTGTCTAACCCTGACCCGGGAGTGCGGACGGACGCACAGTGTCGAGGGAGAGCTTCACTGTGTGTCTAACCCTGACCCGGGAGTGCGGACGGACGCACAGTGTCTCTAACCCTGACCCGGGAGTGCGGACGGACGCACAGTGTCGAGGGAGAGCTTCACTGTGTCTCTAACCCTGACCCGGGAGTGCGGACGGACGCACAGTGTCGAGGGAGAGCTTCACTGTGTCTCTAACCCTGACCCGGGAGTGCGGACGGACGCACAGTGTCGAGGGAGAGCTTCACTGTGTGTGTGTGTCTAACCCTGACCCGGGAGTGCGGACGGACGCACAGTGTCGAGGGAGAGCTTCACTGTGTGTGTGTGTCTAACCCTGACCCGGGAGTGCGGACGGACGCACAGTGTCGAGGGAGAGCTTCACTGTGTGTGTGTGTGTGTCTAACCGTGCTGTGGCTGTCCTGGGAGTGGTAGGCGGCGGAAATTTGTGTTCCCGGTTGGAGTGTTTCTGAGAAGCGAGC